GTATCTTATGGGCGCAGGTAACAGATCACAGAGAACGATCTACCGTATAGCAACGGGTACAGCAGGATTCAGCCATTTAAGCTTATTACACCGAGCACACCGGCTCTCAGAAAGATCTAGATCAATCTGAGCGAAGTACTTTCTCTCGTCGTACACACGGCATTTTTTCCTCATTGTGCGCCGATAGACCTGAGTCAAACTTTCCAAGAAAATATTGAGAAAAAAACTGGGTCGGTATAAGTAGTTTGTATTGGACTGGGTTGTTTTTCGGTGACTGATGACTTAGGAAATAACTCAGTCTTTAATTGGATGATCGATCTTTTAATTGTATAGCCAATGCAATTGGAAGGAGTTAATCAACTATTACTTAGTAACTTGATATCAATGATTTTCACTCATAGTAAATGACTTTTTCCGATTTGAAATAACTACGTTGAGGTTAATTTTTAACCAATTGCAGCCACCCACACAATACAACGGGGTTGCTAACCTACACTAAGCCATTGCACAGACGCCAGAAATTCATTTCCATCATATTCTCTCGTTTTTCTTTCTGCTGTATGGTGAGCAAGTGGCCTCCTTAACATTGGGTAATTCTATAGCTTCTATTGTGCCAGTATCCTGGAGTCAATAAAGGTCAACTGTAAGACAGTTGCTTATACCTAGTACTTGTAGGGACAGCCCTAGGCATGAAGCTTGCTTTTTTGTCCAAGCAAGTGATTTTGTTGAATCCGGAGTCTACGGTTTTCAAATCACTACAAGGGATCTGCTAGTGACCTTACAATTATGCGCCAAGCAGATTTGATCAACATATCGCAGAAACCGCAGAGCATGACTTGCTCAGCAGGTACAATCTTCAACAAATAATGTCCCTGCACTCTAAAATGAAGATCTAGTTGAAGAAACAGAATTATCTGAAAGCCAATTGAGAAGAGATCCAGTTTCCAATCAAAGATTCAGTTATTTCCTGACAGACAGTGTTATTTCCAAATTCATTAATCCAATAAAAAGTGGCTAAGAGGTTTCATAATAACTTCATGACATCCACTTTAACTAGTAAATGCAGGAGAATATCACTTCATAACTGGATTAATTATAGCCGAACAGTTGCTTACTATCTAATTGCAAGACCTAGTTGTTGTAACGGTGGCATCAAGCTGTGTCACCCTGTAATTACGCCCTGTTGAATCCCCACGGAGTTACACAATAAGAAGGGTGCAATAGTAGAAGCCATCCGGAGGAGACTTGATTGTGTACAAAACCCGGAATTGCTTTCTCAGGTGGCAGTTGCCACTGGCTGATCTCTAGCGCGCTCTATTTCCTGCCTCGGGACGAAGCCCAGCACTGGGACGGACTGGTGGTGTCCTTGTTAGTCCGTGTTGCAACTCACTGTCTGAGATGCGAAAGTGGCTTAAAAGTGATTGTCAAGCGTGTTCGCGTGGGCACAGTAATCAGCGGAGGCATATGACCTTGGAGGCAGTCCGCTGTTGATAAAGGAATCATTGAGAAGAAGACGACACGATCGCTGGTAGAATACATTTATTAGCCTGACGTTTCGACATCCGTCGCGGATTCATCATCAGAGACA